GGATGTTGCATAGTTGGGTCCAGTATAGATTTAATCTGACAGTGATTAAAATCACTATCATAAGAAACGCTTCGATGCAAATCAGTAGATAGTGTTTAATTCTAAGAAATTGGTGGATAATTACAAAAGCTACATTATCTGCTAGTTTCTTATTAATACCCTGATTAAGATAAAATATGCCGAATGAAAAAGGGATTATTAAAAAATATTATTTCTTATAAAAAAATTGTGTTGATTCATACACTTTTCAGTGAGTTATAGTATTATAAAGTTAAAAATGTAACCAACCCAACCCAACATTAACTCCTATTTCCTTAATTATATCCAGATTAGTAATTCTTTTAATTATATATTATATAATTTTTATAATTAATTATTTTCAAATTATTATCGATTTTTAATAAGTTAAAAGTAATCATTTTGAACCTACTTTTTGTCCTTTAAAGTGAAAGTTTTAATAAAAAAAAAAATGAATTTATTACCATAACTTTTAACTCAACTTGCAAGTTTGAAATAAATATTATTAAATAGAAAAAAATGAAATTGGTAGATTATTTCAAAAACAACAATAACACTTATTCCCTTAATTTTACCCCGATTTATAACTATAATATATGAATACATAATAATTACAGTAATTAAATTGAGTATGAAAGTGGTATTCAATAATATAATATTGTAATTTTTACGGAGATATTATAAAAATAAAAAGGAGTTGTATATTCATATACTTTTAATGCGTATACAAATTTAAAGGAATTTATGCAATACTTTTTAATAAAAAAATTTTGTTACTTATGAATAAATACACTAAACAAAAGGAACTTTCATCAGAAAAAAAATATACTTTTCTAAATAAACTTTTCGTGATGTTTTCAAATGTGCAATTAAACTTTTTCTATTACTTCTAAGTTTTAATATTATTACTTATTATTAAAAAATAAGTATTTACATATAAAAAAAAATAATTAAGAACAAAAAAAATTGTATTAAATTAATACTGATTTTGATTTTTAATATGTTAAAGGTAATCATTTTGAACCTATTTTTTATTGTCTTTTAAAGTGAAAGTTTTAATGAAAAATACCTTCTCAGCTTCGCATCGAAGCTAAAAAATGAATTTGTTACCATAACTTATAGTTCAACTTGCAAGTTTGAAATTGACATTATTAAATTGAAAAAAATGAAATTTTTAAGATTAATATGCAATCAGGAAATTTTATAATTACTATTTACAGTACATTTATCAAAAGTTATTAGGATATAATAACTTTTGGTGTTTAAAAAAATTCTGCAATTGAAATATTCAGAACTTAATTAATTTTAATAATTTACTTTAATTAAATGAACCAATCAAACCAAAGTAGTTAAAAAGATTTACTCAATTGAGCATATTATCAAAAATATAATTATAATNGTGTTTAAAAAAATTCTGCAATTGAAATATTCAGAACTTAATTAATTTTAATGATTTACTTTAACTAAATGAACCAATCAAAACAAAGTGGTTAAAAATATTTACTAAATTGGGAGCGTATTATTAAAATTGTTTATAATTGTAAAGAATCAATCGTTAAATTCAGGTAAAACTAAAAATCATTTTTTTTGTAAATTTATGATTTATATAGTAACATATTACAAAAAAAATTGGCATATTATAGACTGGTAGTAGCACACACAAATAGAGTTAAAAAATTAATAAATTATAAAGTAAAATTATTTACTTTTGTAGTTGAATACTTTTATCATATCAAATTTAATTCGACAATAAATAATTTAAGAATATTAAAAATTAATGATTTTAATTGTTTGTATGGACAAATCTGGTTAAGCTACTTTTTATTTGAATAAGGAATATTTTTTTGATTTTTAAGAGTAATAACTTAAACTAATCATTAACTTAAATATCATAAACTTAAATGAATCATTTGACGTATCGTTGAAAAAAGTAGGTCTAGTGAGGGTTGGCAAAATAAATCGTAGCCAGAAAAAGAACCACATAGTAAAATAATATTAACATGAATATCAATTTCTTCTCACGAGGGGAGACTATAGTGATAAGATCCTTTATATTTATTGAAATTATTGAATCTAAATGAGATAAATATCAAATGATTTGAAAATTCTATTCTAACTCAAAAAAAAAATGCAAAATTTTAGAATCAAACGGATTTGAACCTCGTCGTACCCTAGGCGTTAAAGATCAAGGTGTTACCCATTCGGCAACTATTCGTTGATTTTTGTTGCATGATAAAATTGGCTATTTAAGCTAACTCAAATTTAAAAATTACTTTTTCGACTTTAAAAAAGTAAAACATTTTAATAAGTATAATTTCATATGTCTTATGAACTTTATTCTATGTCAATGAAATTATATAATATTCATGAAATATATATATAATATTCAGTTTATTCCCCTAATAAGATATTTTAAAATAAAATAAAATACAAAACCTAGAATTTTAATAAAAACATAGCATAATTTTAAATACGGTAGCCTTTTGCGCATAGAAGATAGGTCGTCGGGACAAATTTTTTTTTTTCATTTAGTAGTACATAAAATAAGCTTTAATTTGATATATGTTTAAAGGACGCAGTATTTCCGGAACATTTTCAAAAATTAAGTTGAAAAAGTTAGTTTTTGTAAAAAAGTTGCTATTTTAAATCCCCCCTGTGAGCAGAATAAGTGTTAGATTTTCAAAAAAAAATGATATCAAATGAAAGGAAATTACCTAAGGTTTCAATATAAAGAAATATTATTTTGATTAGTTAATATTTGAAAAAGTTATGGCAGTTTTAAGTACAAAAAAAATTCCGATAGAAAGTGATTTTTATCGTAAACATTACATTTTTTTTTTAATTTCGACAGCCATTTGCACATAGAAGATAAGGTGTCGGGACAAATTTTTTTTTTTCATTTTATAGTACATAAAATAAGCTTTAATTTGATATATGTTTAAAGGACGCAGTATTTCCGGAACATTTTCAAAAGTTCAGTTGAAAAAGTTCTATTTTTTATACAATGTTTCAAAGTTTGAACCCCCCCTATATAAGGGGAAATTGTCTAATTTTAATAAAAAGTATGTCAAATGGAAGATGTACTTATAATGTATTTAGAAAAAAAAAAATTGTGCTGATACATGCATTTTTCGAAAAGTTATAGCATTTTTAAGTTGAAAATTAAAAATCGAAAATCGAAAATTTTAACACAAAAATAGTGTTTTTTTAACTACGGCAACTGTTTACATGTAGAAGATAAAGTGTCGGGACAAATTTTTTTTTTTCATTTTATAGTACATAAAATAAGCTTCAATTTGATATATGTTTAAAGGACACAGTATTTCCGGAACATTTTCAAAAATTAAGTTGAAAAAGTTAGTTTTTGTAAAAGAGTTGCTATTTTAAATTCCCCCTGTGAGCAGAATAAGTGTTAGATTTTCAAAAAAAAATGATATCAAATGAAAGAAAATTACCTAAGGTTTCAATATAAAGAAATATTATTTTGATTAGTTAATATTTGAAAAAGTTATGGCAGTTTTAAGTACAAAAAACATCGTTATAAAAGGTGATTTTTATCGCAAATATTACATTTTTTTTATAATTTCGACAGCCATTTGCACATAGAAGATAAGGTGTCGGGACAAATTTTTTTTTTTCATTTTATAGTACATAAAA